AAACATTCTTTGCATAAAGAATTGTTGCTTTCAGATAATCGTTCCCCATGATGCTCAATTATCCTTTCATATGTAATTGGATTGGCACTAGTTATAAAACTATTTACGTTTCTAGTTAAAATACCATTTATGTTTCTAGTTAAAAAACTATCCATATCTATATATATATTAGTATTATCTATTGGGTGCTCAAGACGAATATATCTTCTATAATCCCTAGATTGCTGTATTAGGGGGTAATGATACCTAAAAACTAAATGATTATATTGGTGTTGGCTTATATCGCCAGCTTCTAATAAATATCGATAATATTCTAGATTTGATCTTGGATATGGAACCTCATTTAATGGTAGTCTTCTTATTTCTGCAACTCTAGCACGAATTCTTCGTCTTTCTCTTGCACTTCTGCGTTGATGGTTTGTCATTTTTTATTATTTCTACTTATAAAATTTATTTGTTCAATTAGAAAACAAAATGATCGACATTTGTGTAACATTCGTGATAATTTATAGATATAAATGTTTACACATCGCGTTAACATATTTTTTTTACATTATAATTTAGAGATATAAATGTTTACACATAGCGTTAACATATTTTACATTATGAGTAGACATCTTTGTGAACTAATTTTGTTTATAAAAAGGCATTATCTTTATTTCTTAAAGGGTATTGATGAATCAGTTTCTGATTTCTATATATTTTATTCCGATAAAGTTAATGATCCCCTTAGCCCTAGAGATTTAGGATTTCTTATGAGAATGCTTGGTGTGAAATTAATTCATAGAAGGGTTGAAGATCGAATTCATAGATGGTATCAGATTTCTTTTGATTATCTAGAAGCTTCTTTATCTAGGATTAGTAAAAGTATTCGTATTGAAATTTTGATTTAGACTTATAAATATTTAGATTAATACTTCTAAAAAAAATATATTAAATCATGTGCGAAAATATTACATTTAGCAACTTAACCCTTTCCCTTTGTGTATATTCAGTTAAACTTAGTGTGAAGGACCTTGATTATAAAATTCTTGGTGAGCAACTTGAACCTAATAAAGATATCGTAGCTATTAATAGTAATTTCATTCACAAAGCTTTTGATGGTTTTGATGACTTTATTGTTCAACCTAAGTTAACAACTAAAAAGAAAAAATTGATGACAACGCCTCTTTACAAAGAACGTAAAAAAGTTGGTGATGGGACTTGTTTTCAATCTTGCCTTAACTTTGTTATATTGATTGATTCAAAGAATTATAAAATGCGTTATTTTCCTAGGAGTGGGGATTTACAAGTATTTGGGGTCATTGATGATGACTATCGATCTGGTAAACTTGCTGTTCAAACCTTTGTTAACTATCTTAAAGAATCTAATGGGATTACGGATTTTGAAACGGTTGAAATCATTAATACTAATCTTTCATTATTAAACTTTAAATATCATATGATATTACCTTCTAATGTTCTCATTGATATTTCAAAGCTTGATTCTATTCTTGCTAATGATTTGTATCCTCCTCCATTTAAAATCAATTTTACTATCAATCTCATTGAATCTATTAGAAAGCTTTCAATTATATTTGAATCTTATGGGAAGAAAACTCGTGTTATTATTTGGCCTAGTGGGAAGATTAATATAATGTCTGCAACTTCATATGATGATGCCCTTAAAATCTATAACTTCTTGGGTCAAATTTTCGAATCTGAAGCATCTAATCTACTTGCAATTATTCCTACTCCTGATCCTTTAACTCCTGGTAGAAAAGGACGAAAAAAAATTAATAATTAAGCGTTGTAACTGCTTAGATCTGTTTGATTTCAGATTCAATTTTTTCGATTTCCTTTATGAAATCATTAATTCTAGCAGTTGTGTAATACTTGCTCTCTGGATTATAATTTCGGTTCTTTAGCTCATTGTATCTTGGTATAATGCGCCTTCTCCAGTCCGGAATCTTTTCCCCCTTATTTTTAGCATACTTCCCTGATGAAATAGCTTTAGGTCTTGGTCTCTTTATAATAGTTTTTACTTCTTTTGCCTCCAATGGGCTTTGCTCTTCATATTCGATCTCTTCTCTTACCTCTACTAGCTCCCCTGCCTCAAATGGGTTCCTGCTGAGATTCTTTAATGCTTCACCAATATAGTTAAGTGTTAGGGTAATTTTAGATAACATTTTTCGTTTTTTATATATATCACTGAAATGTTTAATTTGAAATTTATATATATGGATCGGTATGTTTTCTTTTTTGTTATCTAGTTGTGCTTCGCACAACAGGCTTGCCTTCCTGATAACTGATATGTTTTCTTGTTTGCTATCTAGTTGTGCTTCGCACAACAGAGCTTGCCTTC